GACAACGTTCCAAACCTCTCCTTTCATCATTCGCCATATCCAACCCCTCTCCATTCCATCCTGTTACGTTCGTTTTCCCTTGGTTTTCTCTCTCTCTCTCTTAGCCTGTTATCCATAGTTCCCTCTCTGTCAGTCGAAACGGCTGACCGGTCACTCTGTTCCTGTCGTTATCCCGATTACCCGGGAACACATACGCCCTGATCATTCTGGGTGAGAGCAAGCTGTTCGTACGATCTTCCTCCATTCGGAAGAAAACCTTGCCACCTTCTCCTTCATTCATCCAACAGGCAGATCCTTCTGTCTTTTTCGTCTTCTCCTCTTTCTTGTCTTATGGTTCTGCTTACGGACGAACACCTGTGCGCTCGGCTGATCGCTCGCCGAGTGCAGTTTAAATTTAAGGGAATTGACGATAGAGGTTCCGGAGGGGATAACGGGTGTCGGAGACTTTTGGGAATTTTTCAGTGTGACTCTTCTGTTTTACTTGTAAACGCTTATCAGTCTTCGTTCTTCCTTTTCTAGGTTTATGGATTTTCTTCGTTCCTTTTGTGGGTTCAAAGGTTTTCCTTCTTCCAATGCAGTGGCCTCTGATGCAGCGGGACTTGTGGTATGGTGAACGAACATTGCGAAGAACAGGTGTTATGGATGAAGTTATAACGTTGTTATATGTATATATAGAATGAAGCGGAGATAACCTGATTATCTTATTTTGTCCTCATTAGTATGGTAGAGTAGATATGGACCGACGATGCGTATCTATTACTTTCTTTCTAAATTGATTATATATTTTTTAATTTAGAATTCTTATAAAATTTCCTAGCTTGATTTACGATCACTATATAATTTCTTGCACATCTGTATATCTTCTTGGAATCCTAGATATTCCTAGATACGTCTCCCATATTCTTATATTATAAAAATTCAAATATGCTCTTCGAATGAACTCTGCTAAAATATTTTTAACGTTGTGCCCTGATGCTTGTTTACGTAGGATACTCAAAAGAATCAGACTACCTCCAAAACGAAATCAGAAATATAGAAAGTTGTACTTATACAACTTTTAAATTCAACTTCGAACTCAGATCTATATTCAGTTCCAAATCTCGTACACTTGCGTAATTTGATATAAATCTAAGACTTAAACTGATGCAATTAACCTATAACCATAGTTTCCAGTTAAAAGATTCTAAGCAATATAAAAATTACAATTTGCAGTAATAAGGAAGCGGCTCGAATATTTAAACTACATTTAATGGAAGAGAAAGAAAGGTATAGGTTCCGTAATCAAAAATAAAAAAAACTTCTATTACGAATAGTATTATGAATTCGTAGTATGTTTGAAGAAATGATTTAATTTCGTCTAATTTTGATTTCATTTCTGTTAATTCACTCAGATTATTGACAACTGAAACTATATTCTTCTCGTATCGATTCTTCAAATTCTAATTACAAATTTCAGGCTTCGAATTCCATATTCAATTTCAGATCTCCTACATTAGCCCTTACGACCTCGAGTCAAATTTCCCTCCATAATTCATTCCAACGATTAGCACGCACGCTTTCATACGAAAAGCAATATTTTCCCAAAAAAACCGCTCCTCTGCACGATTTTCCAATTTTTTGTTATCCATGTAAGCTCACGGCCTTGATAAACACTTGGAGCAATCACGTGTCGCAATAGTATGCCACGGATTCGTAAACATTGCCGAAAGCGAAAGAGAAGAAAAAAAGAAAAAGAAACATCCTCGGAACGAGTCGTGTCGTTTCAATGCTTACACGTTATATTTAACGCGAAGTTTCCAAAAGCTGACTCATGAAATTCCTATATATGTATCTGATAAGTAACAAGAACGGAAAAGATGATAAAATAATTATATGATTTAATGACTCATCCCAATATTTAACATTTGTTCCCCCTTTTTTACGAAACAAGGAAAACTCGTTAAATTGAACGTCTTTCTAATTTAATACACTTGATGTTCGAAGTTTATAAAGATGGTTAGGTTAAGTTTTAGGTACTTTCAGGGACGACAAATAATTATTTAAACAATGGTAGTACTTTCGTTTACTCAAACGTGGTTAGGTAAATTTATCGAAAGCTAACCCTAACCTAATTTACTGATAAATTTCCTAACGTCAACTGAATTAAAATAAAAGAATATTATATTCCTATTTATTATTGCGAAAGAAACATTTTTTAATTTGGCGCTTTCTTAATAAGATAATAAAAAGTATGTTAGCTTGAGATCCATCAAGTGATTTCTCTTTTCAGTGATAAAATGAAGCTATTAGACACATGACTGAGTCAGATAATCAAAATTGAGAAAAGTCAATAAACTATGTCATTATAAAACTGCGAATTTCTATGTATTTATAGGAAATTTAAAAGTGCAAAGATGCACATAATACATATAATATGGAAAAACATATATATCAAATATTCAGAGTATTTATTATGATATTTAGTAGATGATATTTAGTAATTCTACTTACATCCCGTATCTTTCCATTTTGTGTATATAATAATATAAAAGTCCATAAAAATCAATCTAGTAATTACATATGAAAGTAAGGCACTCACGTTTTAGAGATCGAGGCTTTGCCTGCTTCCTCCTGGACATAGCAGCGTGACACCTCTCGACTAGCAGATCAGTAGTAACGATTCAGTCACATTTCGGAACACTTCTCAGAACTCGATCCATCCGTGCACAAACCTAACCCAAATCAGCCACACTATGTCCAGTCGTTGACAGTTTTATTTGAATCCGTGATCGTAGACAGAAACCGTGATACGAACGACAATTTCGAATAACGAACGACAATCTCGCGTGAATTCGAATGAACGATTACCCGCGCACAGTAACCATGGCGACGGATAGTAACATCTTCGAGAATCGAAAGAAGATCGAGTCGAACAAATGATCGACCAATTTATTTACGATAATTTCCTATATCTTCCATAAGGGACACGAAATAATAAGTTAGAATGATTTATCACTGAGGATATCTGATTATTTTTTGGAATAATTCGAGTACCGGAAACCACGTGGCCTCGCGTGATGGTATTAAGGAAGATTTCAACGGAACACAACACAAACACAGAACAAACGCGCTCGGAAGACGCGCAACGAATGACACTGTACTTGATACCGCAAAGTCGCTGGTGCAGAGAACCACTGAGATCCTCACTGCACATGCGCACTGTATCTTACTGATAGTGGCCTGCGCAATTCTACCTTTAATGCAGCTGAAATAAATTTATATAGAAAACACAACGCGATATTATTAACGCGTTCATCACTTTCACAGCCCTATATTCGCCGTTGTTTAACGCTCTGAAATATGCTATATGCTATAGATATCAACGAAATTTTATTAAGTATAGCTTGTTCGTATAAAAATGTAAATATTAATTTAAATTATTTAATAAGTAATCTGTATGCAATTAGGATATAACAATTAAAATAGAAGTACATAACACTAGGAGTGGTTCGATTAAACATCATTGATATCTACATCCACTACCTGTCCACTTATTTTCGTCCACGACTGTATGTTAGAAAATTACATACAATGAAAAACAAAAGTATTCGTACAACTGGAATATAAAAGTAAAAAGAGGAATATTTTCTACATTATTAAATATATTTAGATATGTGTAATTATGTATTGTACATTAACACTTGCAGTAGTAAATGGATATAAACAAAAGTTAATTCGTAGATACTATTACACATATATGTGTAATATCAATCTTAAAGGCTTGCATGATATAGAAGCGCGGAATTCGCTAAAAATCTAGTATTATCCATGCCCAATAGATCGCAGGCAATTATTTATCAAAAAGCTCATAAGCTTTTGTAAGTATAAGTACTGTACAAATACTTTCGTTTCAATAATCGAATAATTTAATTAACATTTTCCTGTGTACATTTGTTACTATAAGTACTTAAATATAATAAAGAGATACGTATTCAAATATATTTAATGGGATAGAATATATATTTTTTAATTCTACATTCAAACTGTACAAATACTTTTGTCTTTGACTGTATGCACGTTTGTTATAAAATACATTAATAAAAATAATAATAATATCGTAAAAATCGTAATCGTAAAACTATATGAGCAGATCGTGATTTTTTATGTAAAAATATAAATGTAGAAATAGAGATTCTTTAATGAAATTGAATTTCAACTATTCTTTTCAATATTATCTATAACGCATATTACACATTTTCGTACTTTCTAACCAATTGGTAAAATATAGGTTAGTAGAAGTAAATTTTTTAGAAATGGAAAATTATTAATTATTCAACTATTTAACTATGAAAGTATTGTGTTTCTTTTGTAGTTAATAGTCTTTAGATTTAAATGGTTCTCTAGTAAAATATTACATTTACTATATTAGAAAAATAGTTAGGCCCCTATTTTGAATTATAACATTGTTCTTATTAAATAATATATTTATAACGTACCCATCCTAATAAATAACTCCTGTTTCGAATTAATTAAATTATAGATAAGTGAATTTTTAGAAGTATCACACTTCTAGGAAATTAACAACATAAAAATAGTCAAATATTATAATGCAGTATAAACAAAATGAAACTAATACATACATACGCATAACACACTTAGTACTTCCAGAAAATTAACAAAGCAATACTGTGTAAATGTAAAGAAATTTTATGGAACAGATTTGATAATAAACCGAAATAGTATGGAAAAAATATTATAAAATGCTCAATATTTGTGTCATGCTACAATTGCTTTATACCTATGCAATTTCGAAAAATTGAAGAAATACATTAAGATGTAGCTATCTGAGATGTTCTTCTATTTTTTTTTTTTTGTTTCCAATTTGTTTGTTGAAGTTTTCCAGGTAATATATATATTTATCGTAATTTATTTTCCAACATGTTGAAATTATGTTGAACGGAAGAAATTCTGCATTACCGACAGAGAAGAATCAGCAGAGATATAGCAAATAAAAAATACACAGGTTGATATCTTTGACAGCTCATTGACTTCATAGTTTTGTAAAATTGCCTACAAATTTTGATCGATATATTTCATTTTTTGTTTTTTTTTTTTTTTTGGTAACTTGTTAAATATAAATGATTTCATGGTACAGTTAATACTTTGAGACCGTTAAGACATAATAATATAAATAGGTTAGAAATTGAATGTTTATAGAAAAAGAACGAGTAAAACAGTTCCATCTGTAAATTTAATATTAAAGATTAAATTAATATTTGAATTCAGGAAAAAATATGCTTTCACTGGAACGTATACCAGATCAAATTGGGCATCTAATTTTGACAGAGGATGGAGCTGTATTAACGGTAATATTCTCTTGCTCATTGATTATATAGAAATTGCTACACAATTGTCAATTAATTATCTATAAAATCTGAACATTGTATACTTTATTTTAGTCTGGAGGTGAATTGGAAAATGATGAGAGATTTGCAAACATTGTTATAGGATTAATCACGCTAACCAATAAAATTGATCCCAAAGCATTTCCTAATAACGAGACTTTTGATAAAATATCAATAACATATCCAGATCATTGTTATATTATTTGTCTCTCAAACAAAAAGATCCATGTAGTGAAAAAAAAATTGACATCCTCAACAACTGCAGCTGTAGAACAACCTCTTATTGATGTATAAATGAATGTCACCCATACATGCAAAAATAAAACGAATGAAACCGGAATATGCAAATTTTTTCAATATTACTAATGTTAATAAAAATATGATGATAATAAATTTGTCTTTGTGTTACTTGTTAATGTCTCATTTTTATTCCATTTTTATAAATATTTTTATAAATACTATAAATATTGTATATACTAAATAACATTATAAATTATATTTGTTACATATATACGTATTTTTATTACAAATATCTGTGTTATGAATCATTATCTGTATCAGAACTATCATAAGTGACTAACGATATACTTAACGTATTAGTAGTTGTTTTTGAACTCGAAGGTTCTTGTTGAGTAAGCTTAGGAAGTTTATGTGTTTGATCTGTTTGATTTTTAGTGTTATTGCTTAATACAGAATGTGACGAATGTTTTAGTTTATCTCTAGACCTTACAATAGTAATCAATCGTTTCAAGGGGTTGTGCCCATTCTTTTTTGTATCTGAAACAAAGAAAACAAATACTAAATACTATGTTACAAAAACATGCTACAAAAACATATTTTTTATATATACTCTAAATCATTACCTCTTTTATGCATCAGTAATTTGGCTAACCTTATATCATCTTCGTGTTCATTAACTAAGTCAATATTCAATCCACTTTTTTTAAGCAACACTTGATCCAAACTTTGTTTCTTCTGTAACTCGTTTTTTCGTGTCTACAATATAAAATACTTATCAGCAACCAATTCTCAAAATATTTATAATATAAAACTGGCTATATAAATAATTATATACATAAACATACTCTAAATGCGGAGCGTAATGCACAATTTGAAGAGTAATCATCCTTCCATGTAGCATTATTTAATGCTATTGCATTTTCCAAGGAAGAATCTTTTGATTTTGCTATTTTCTTATCTTCTATACCATGTTCCAACTTGTACATAGCATCATCATATAGTCTGCAAGATACTTCTTTTGTTTCTGGTACCACCTGTTCATTTTCTTTAGGATCCCAGCGATTTTCTTGGCGTTTTGCACCACTCACAATTACATAATCTAAATTCTGTGCAAAAAGATATTTTTTTTAAATCCAAGTAACCAAATGTGATAAACAATCTAGCAAAGATGACACAAAGACGATGATACTCACTGCTGGATCAGTCTTTATTTCAAAATGATTGTCACAGAGATGACATTTCATGCGAAATTGATACAATGGTGTACTGTAATACATTCCAATTTTTTTTTTCTCTGCATTGTAACGAACACCCATTCCTACATGATTGCCACAACCATCACACCATATATTATATGGCATTTCAAATCTGACAATAAGAATGCCCATGTGTAATTTACGTGCTCTTTCACGTAGTGCATGAGTACCAAGAAATTTGTTAAGACCACCAACACGGGGATCGTAATCAGGTGGATAGTATAAATTTGTTCCCTTACGTTCTCCCATTGTTCTACAGAATAAAAACTTATATTAAATGTACTATTTTACAAAGTATTTTGAGGTGTTACTTTTACATTATATTTAAAATGACAGTATTACCGAATATCTTGATTTCTAATGTGTTTTCAGGACAAAAATAAAACGAATTATTTATATAACTTTTGTTTATTTATATAACACTTTTGCCTGAAGAAAAACTCTGACATAAAAGTACCTCACAGTACCTCTTACGTTACAGTAAACCTGAGAACAATTTACGATAAAACAGGTTAGGCAACTTAATAACACATTTAGACACATTCTAGTCTAGTTACTTTTACAGTGATATTTTCGTATCGCAGTACCGCCATGCTAACTAATCGAAATTCTATTCTATTATTAATTGGTCACCGCGAAATTTGAAGAAACTAAACATATTACATATCTGTAAAATAGAAAAGATGCTAAAAATTTTCTATAAAAATACTTTTTTCAAGAAATGATCAGATATAAGAACACTACTGCAATAGTAACAGAATTAATGTAGAAACAGAAAATGCACCTTCTTTATTTTTTGTATAAAAATAGCTTTACATAATACCATTATGTATATTGTAGCCTTCACAATACAAAGCACCGTGTTAATTGGTATTATAAGTTTTCTTAATTACACTGAATCAAGACAAAAATATAGTTCAAAGCTCTGACTGAAACAGACCTTATTCTATCTCAAACTTCTACTCACTCATCCAATTCGTGGACACGTAATTATACCATGAAGACTATTATAATACTTATATGACATTATATGACAAATGATAATACATCCTTAAAAAATATATAATTCCATTTATATAAAAAAAAAAAATATAACTTCTTAGCAAATCTTAATCATAGATGATGTATGAAATATGCAATGTTATTTTATTCCTAATTTAACTTTTATTTGTATCTGTAGATTTAAAATATAACCTAAGCAACGTAAGTAAATAAAATTATAAACGTAATTATTTTTTGTATTTTATGTTTCAGTGTCCTGCGTAATATAACACAAAACAGGTTCTCAGATCTTTTCATTTCATAATCAAATCAATGTGAACCTAATACTAATTAGATTTAATAAGCAATAATGATAAAATATTATTTAACAATATTATATTAATGTTTCATAAACTATTATCATTTGAGGACCTTCAGATACGTTCGAAAAACCAAATAATAACTAATCTGTCACAATAGGAAAGTTTTTAAAAACATAATTTTACTGTTACTTTACGTATACGATAAGTCTTATAGTGTAATTCATGTATCTTAGTTTGTACATTAAGAGAATGGTATAATACTGTATACTGGTAAAAATTTACAAATAGTACAATATTTCTTCCATGTGATGACTAGGATCCTGACGTAAGAACTGAGCCACCAAGAAGGCAAGTTTGTGAGCATATTGACAAGGTGCAGGTACCCTTACGGTACCAGACCAATTATAATACATATGACATAACTTATATGTCAATCTTTGCATTTGATCAGGCAACCAACCTGTGGTGTCTGCAACCACATGATATGCACACGGTGTCACCGTACCTTGTCGCACGTTTTGAGATACAATGAAAAAGTCATATCTTAACGGATTAGTTACAACATCATCAATGACTGTACCCGGGGGTGGATTTTTCTTCTCGTTAAAGATTCGAGTGTTAATTCGTTTCGTCACTATCAGGAAGGCAAATTTCACAGATAGACCCGATTCAGCGTGTATAGCTTTTAATTTGTCTCGTATTTGTGCTATTTCATGACCCATTACGTACGGCACTTGGCCCTCGCCAACGCCATCACGATAAAACACAATAAATGATGGGAATTTACAATTCGTTCTTCTATAAGCCTTCAATGCGCTATCGAGATTTGTCGCGAACTTATTTGAAAGTTCTTGGCCTACATTATGAGCACTTGTCACGCTATAATACCGTGTCAAACCTTTATCTAACGAAGCCACCATCGCACCATAATCACGAGTTTTGTTACTAGTATCGTGACACACGTCAAAACCGACCACCATCAAATCGATATCTGGGAGCTCAATAGACCAAGGAGAACCACCCAATTTGCAATTCATTTGAATAGCTACTTTCGTAGCTATTGTTCTTACATTCTTGTTTGTAAGATTCTTTTCAAGGAATACTTGCGAGGGAGTATGTCGATCTACAATACACTTTTTCTTAATAGCGCTATAGCGGTCGCTTCTATTATTCGGTACAACACAGAGGACTAACTCTGGTTTAAGTCTGCCCAGAATATTTTCCAAAAAGTCGGGGTAAGCACTAGAGCGTTCATCAGTTATTTCGTAATACTTTGGTTGACTTATACTGGAACCCATTCCCGAAGCAGCATTTTTAATCAAATGAACAAAATTCTGTAAAATAAAAATACATTGTGGCAACGAATTAATAGCGACGAAGAAGTATAATTCTAGAAAATTTTGATATCTTACTTGAACGTCGTCCTTTATTTTATGCGCGTAGATAACCGCCCAAAGTCTTAATTTCTTTGGATTGAATAACGATTGTCTATGTAATTGTCTTGTCCAATCTCCTCCTTTGCCCGCTGTAACTGAGCTATTATTACCTAGATAAATTAATTCTGCATCCAAAACACGCGCCGGTATATCAAGCAACCGGTTAGAAAGTTTCAAATTCCATTGATCTAGCTCGGTTTTGATTGCCGGTTCCGAGAGGAGTCTCTTATTGAATTCCATTAATTTGGTCATACGTGCATCTGGACTTACGCGTGTAAAATCTGCCAATGAACGCATTAAACCGAAATTTTCTCTCATCTTATCGGTTAAACCTGCATAGAAATGACTTATCGTAAGATAAAAACATAAAATGAATTATACAAATACAGAATGAAGTGGAAAAAATACCTGTTGCACGGCATAATTCAGGAACAAGATATATTAGTTCACATTTGCCAGAGCGACGATCTCTTGGTCTTGCTCTTGTTACAAGCAGTGGTTGACGCTTTTCACGAATCGTAATTCGATATTTACTTTTGTAATAATCTCTATACGTTATCGGATCACCATTTTTCAGCAGAAATGTTGAATCAGGACCTACCTTATAATCTATATCCGATATACGATATGTGTGGTTATTGTAATCAGTAAGTACGACTAAACCAAGAACTAGGCTTTCAAATTCTTTCTAAAGATATGAACCGTTTGATATAAATATATAATAAAACAAAAATATATAATTAAATTAAGGATATGTTAGTAATCAATATTCTTACCTTATAATTATCATTGTTTTTACGGAAACAGTCGTTTAATATATCTAGTACAGTTTGCTGACGCATAACTTTATGTGTAATCTCAGCACACATAAGAATATCGTTTTCGTGTTGTCTTATAGACGTAAGATAGCCAGGCCAAAGTTCCATTCTTTGACCCTGTACGTCTATCTATTTGAATTATAATTGTGTTAAACAATTCGTGGGTAATAATATAAATATGTAATATAAATATCAAATAATTATAACAATTATTTCTTTACTTACTTTGTCATTTGCGTCGTAGTAATCGCGCCCCACAATCTGGAGTTTCAATAGTTCTAGGCATCTTCGCATAATTATATTAAAGAATTGAAGATAACCGTAGTCGCCCTTCTGCATATCTCCAACATAGCGCAAAACAATTTTAATATCGGTTCCATCCGATATTCGCTTAGACCAAATCTCCAGCTTTAGAATTAAATTTATGTTATACACATTTGTTCATATCTCATCAAAGATGTAGCATACAACGTATAATTTAATTCACTGAAAAATATCTTACTTGTTCTATACGTTTAATGCTATATAGAAGATTTCCATCGAAAACATATGGTCCTAAAGTATCCTTATGAGATTTGACCAATCCTTTACGGATAGCAGTTCGTTCATCGTTTGGAAAAAATTCAACTTTGTATTGGTATAAATCCCAATCAGTTGTTGTCACCAACTTAAAATAATTCGTCTGCATCAGTATTTCAGTTCCAGATATGCCTGAAAATTTTAATGCTTATATAATATGTATTTTATGTTTTTCACATAAATATGAAAGTACTAAATGTATTAACCTCTTTTGCTAACTAAATGTTCTGGTCTTGTGACTAATTCTGAGGCTAATACACGTCTGCCTCGCGTAGCTCCTCTTCCTAATTGACTTCCTCCTGTACCTTCTCCACTAGTGCCTGGAGGTGCTATAATATATCATGTATGTAAATTCATAAAAAAAAATTTTCTATATATTTTTCTGTACTATCAAATAATACAAAGACGGTTTGAAAAATTTGCAGTCTGATAATGCACCTCTGGTTGTAAACATTTCAAATCGTCTCTAATATATTTGAAAGTAATGTATAAACAGCATGGAAAATTTATTAATTGCACCTTCCATTTTTGCAGGAGAATATTCTTGAAACTTTTTGGGCCTTCCTGGAATACCCTAAAATAAGATAAAAACATATCTTTGATAACAAAATAACAGTTTAGATCTTTATTATAATGTAAAAATAAAATGAGACACAAAAAATACAACAAATGTCATATTGTTGGGATAATTTGTCTAAAAAAGAATGCAATATAAAAATAGCATCATGACAAAAAACGTTTACTAAACAATAATACACACTACTAATCTTCTCTATACCTTTTATCTTTGGATAAATCTTGCTCTACACAAAAAACGAATGAAATTCAAATTTCATTTGTATGTACTTTTAAGAAGTATACATGTACTACATGTATACAGTATATACACATACTTCCTATATATATTCTTTAAAAATGCACATATTTTTTAAAAGTTCTTGAGAAACAAATTATAAATTAACAATATATCACTTTCAGCATGCAATTGAACTTTACTGCACATATTATAAGTCATTCTACTCGTTTTGACATGCTGAATGTGAATATCGCAACCATTTCTAATGGAAGTGAGTTTCTCCTTAATTTACTATACTTACTATATGCTATATATACTAATATTATATACACCAATAACATATACTAATAAAAATAATACAATACATTTAGAAAATATAATAGTAATTATTTTGTAATCACAAAGACTGCTTTTCTGTTCACATTAGATATATGTATGGGAGTGAATCTTCCGCATGTACCATCAACACTTCTTGAAGCATCTTTGTCTCTTGTTTATAGGATAGCATCTTGAGTCTAATAACAATTCTAAAAGTCACTGAGAATTTTCATTAAAAGTATTAGCATCATCTTTCTTTCAACACATAGGCTTGACTTGATTTTAAAGATCAGTAAAGTAGGGAACTACTAGAAAACGGTATTGTTATGGATTATATAAGTGCCCAATCAACAATACTTACTACTTAGAAATAACTCACAAAAATTAATATTTCTTCATAAAAAGTTGTTGTGGAAACCAAGAAGGAAACTATATCATTTATTGAAGTATATGTTCTCAAGGAACTAAAAACCAATTGTAAGGTTGAGTTCCTGTCTTATCTCCTTACATTTAAAATTTAATATGTGAATTATATAAACATATCTCAACATAAACAAGTAATGTAGTTAATTCCATACCCAAAACTAATTCACATCAAGGTAGAGAGTATCAAAAAATTTTATAAATATTTCAAAAATATGTAATTTCTACCAAAAACAAAGTAGGATGACATGAAACATGTGCCAAAAGCATAAGGGAACAATGGGTAATCTCTTACCCAGCATGCTGAGATTAACAAATTTATAGTCTCATATTTCATAAATTACCACTGATGGATCTTGTGGTACTGAATCTGTTCTTTCCATAGGTGGCCCTGGTGGAAGCCTAATGTACTCCGGAGGATTAGAGGGCGTACCAGGCTGAACATTACTTGGAGATGCAGGTGGATATGAAGGTGGATATGAAGATTGAGGTTGATGTTGAAATTGGTGTTGAGGTTGTTGTTGAGGTGAATATGGATGTTGAGGTTGTTGTTGAGGTGGATATGGATGTTGAGGTTGTTTTTGAGGTGAATATGGATGTTGAGGTTGTTTTTGAGGTGGATATGGATGTTGAGATTGTTGTTGAGGTGAATATGGATGTTGAGGTTGTTGTTGAGGTGGATATGGATGTTGAGGTTGTTTTTGAGGTGAATATGGATGTTGAGGTTGTTTTTGAGGTG